ACATGTTTGCCGGTTCATACTGTAACATATTCGTGTATAGATTCATTATATTTTATGAGTTGGATGCATGCATACAAACAAACATACATACATACATACATACATACACACATACATACATACATACACGAATACCGTTGTGTTAAATCACCAAAGTAACATAACTGCATGAATCACACAACATCATCTTCCATGATAAAATGATTTGCAGATAATAATTAGTCAGCACTATGCATATTGTGATCTAAGAAGTATTCAAAGCTATAAAACATGTTTTAGGGGCACCTGGTATCATCCTTCCATCGTCATCCTATGAGAAAATTTTTTTTTGCTGTAGTCATCTTCACGGTTGTCATCATTTTAGTCATCATTAACATTATCTTATTCCTATTGCTTAAAATCGTTCTAACAATCATCATCTTCATTTTTGTTGTCATCAATCTTATCACTGCAGTTGAGGTATAAATTTATTGTACTATCATCATTATTTTTTTGCTCTCACCCACTTGATTTTTGTAATGATTTTGTGATTTCTATCAAATTTATTATCATCATCACGGTGTTTATGATTGCTTGAAGGATAACCATAGGTGGGCTTAAAAATATTTTTGTTTAATTTTTACCGAGATGTACACGATTATGCAGCGTCATCATTCTTGCGCAAAGTAGGAAAACTATTTTTTCCACTCTCCTTTTGTGATGTATCACGTGGGATGATGATGTGCAAGAAATGATGTGCTTTGGCGTTAAAGTGCCCTCTAATGTTCCTTCATTATTGAAGGGCTTCTTTTGAGATCTCTTTTAATAATTTTAAGACAATTTGTTTAAAACAATGAGTGTTACTAACACCATCAATACACTCGCACATAGGAATTAGGTTTATAATAAACTTAACATTGAGTTTATAATCATACACAAAAGAGTCCCAATTCATTCATTAACTTATTCATTTATTCTCTAACTCATGACACAGCTGTTTGATGTAACAATAGCAATGTTAAAAGGCAGTAAAAATTTTTTATGAATTATTTATCCTATGACAACACTGAATTATCCAGAATATTATGTATATATATATATATATATATATATATATATATATATATATATATATATATATATATATGCACACACATACATACGTGCACACGATCACACATGTGTTTGTATTAAAATGTATTTATTATTTATACATTCAAGCAGGTGTTTTCATATGTGTGTGCATGCTTGCCAACCCATACCACCAGTCTTGGTATTTTTATGGTATAGTTTTTATCTCTTTATTTATTTGTGTGTGTACATTTTTTCCCCTGAATTGTATTCGAAAGTATAGAGGAAACGCTTTTGTTTTATTATTCATTTTATTTTTATTCATTTTCGTTTTATTATTCATTTTATATTTATTATTCACTTTATTTTTGTTGCTATCACCGTCTTCGTCAATAAATTTATCAATATCTTCATGTGCTTCTGTTTATTTTATACAATTCACTATAATATTATTAATGCTTATTTATTTGCTGGTCACATGCTGTAAGATTGGTAACGTTGCTTTTTTACATGCTGTCAGTTGGTTGGTTGGTTGGTTAATTGGTTGGTTGGTTGGTTAATTGGTTGGTTGGTTGGTTCTGTCTGTCTGTCTTTTACATTGATGTGTTTTTTAAAGGGAGAGAACAAAAGAATTATTTATGAGAAAACATCATTTGTGATTTATTTACTCTGATTTTGAATGATTGAATTGATTACTTAATAATTTTTAATAATTTTTATTAATTCAATTTTTATTTATTATTTCTTATTTATTTCACAATTTTTTAAATTTAGACTTTCATTTATTTTTTCTGTATCATGGTTGCTAGCAAAGTTATAAGAATGAAAAATTAGTGATATTTAGTGATATTTTTTTACATTTACGACTAATATGTTGTTGTTGCTGTTGTTGCTGTTGTTGTTGTTGTTGTTCGTTAATGGGTGTTGCTGCGCGATTTAAAAATGTGCAAACTTAATTAGCGAAACTTTTTTTGTAAATATTTTTCAAGCATTTGTTCATCATTATGGTTTAATATTCATCATTATATTAATTATAATTATCACTATTGTCTTTGCATTCATCCTTATTCATTCTTATTTGTGACATTTATTTTGTGTTATGTCTACTGAACCCCTTTAAACTTTGTTATTAGTCATTCTATCTAATTTATAATCTGTTATTAAGTTCTGCTTTCGTTTATTAATATGATAATTCATGCTAATTCTTATTCATTTATTTTTTCATTAATATTTTCATTAATTAGCGCTACATAAATCGGTCTTAATCATATTCTCGTTAAACAAATGATGAAGGTGGCGATGATAGGTAGGAGTTAACATGGTGATGGACATTTTTTTCTCACAAAAGTTACTTATCATGTTGAATGATGATGAACATGAAACCTAGCTAGCTGACCTAGCTTGTGTGTGTGTCTGTGTGTGTGTGTATGTGTGTGCGTGCGTGTTAAATCTAATGTATAAAATGTATATATTTTCTATATATGTTTTATTCATTGTAAGTAGATTAAAAATGAATATTAGATGGATTTTCATTAACATATGTTAGCCATGGTTTTATTTAAATTTATAAAACCAAGCCATGGTTTTATTTAAATTTATAAAACCATCTGGATAATTTTTTGTGTTCTAACTATTGACGTTATTATGATCATTCACATTATTTTCATTCATGTTATTGTTATTGTGTTGCTGGTGGCAAAGTTATGGGTTTTCAAATTATTTAAAGGTTTTGCTCTTAGCCATTAGTTTTAATTGGCTGGATTTTTATACCTACCTAGTCTCATTCTTAATTATTTTCATTGTAATAATAATAATAATATAATAATAATAATAATAACGATGAGGATGATGATAATGATGTTAGTTATAATATTAATGATAATAATAATATAATGGCTTATAATGGGCTCAAACAAAGAAGTCAATATGCCCAAGTTTCAAAACATAAACCATATGACATAATATATATATATAATCAAATAATGATGCCTGCGCTACAAACGAACATAAACTATAACAGTATATGAAAGTCAAACAAGTGTTCATGTTGTATCAATATATGATCAAAAAAAAGGCTATACATTAGCCGTATACTTATCAAGTTTAAATTCTACGATGGTGTCAGATTCAATAATTTCTTTTGGCAAATATTTCCATACTAAAAAGATCCTGTTGGCAAAAAAGAATTTTCTGTTGTTGTTTGTTGTTGTTGTTATATCTCTGCACGTGTATCTTGAAACAATGGTTGTGTTTATTTTTGTTTAAGAGTGCATGATTAATCTGCAGTGATAAGGAGGGGGTCACTGGTGACACTCTCACTTATTTCCATATCTATCGTTTTGTATAAATATATAATACACTCATCAATATCATTCCCTCTATATAATTATATCATACACTTGTCTATATCACTTTTTCTTTATATATCATAAACTCAGTACGATATACTTATCTTCTAGTTACATATCTATCCCAGGTGTTTGCAACTTATGACGTAATTTTGTATTTTTAATTTATTCTTAAAATTTTTATTCAAATTTTTTGTTAACACGGTTGCCAGATTTTTTTAAATTCTTTTTTATTCTTCTATTTGTATTCCAATCAACATTTTAATTGTAATTTTGCTGTTGAACTGTTTTGAATTAGACATATTTGATTTGATTAAACATTGATTTTGTTATATGAACGCGTTTTGTACTATAGAATTGGGAAGTGTGTGTTGAGTTTTGTTTTCAGTTTGTTGTTGTTGTTATTGTTATTGTCAGCCTGTTGATGTTGTTGTGTCAATGCCTGATTGATAAACCTTTTTTCTGAAAAGTCATTATTGAACGATAATTTTCATGTTGACAAAATATTCATCACACTTTTTTTAGAATCAGTCATTCTTTAACAAAGGCATTTTTCCTGAATACCCCTGGTTAAGATAAATTGATTCACATAAGTCTGCTTTGTTTGAACTATACGTCTTTGGGTAAACAATTGTTACAATTATCTTGTTATGTGATTGTTTACCTAGAACTCACTGAGTGATAGTTTATGCTTTGAATGATTCTTTCCAACCTGCATGTATGTGAAGTACATTAAACAAATCATGCACTGTAGTCGTTTGTTAGTAGTTACATACTGCTGCAGTTGCTGGTTAGTATATAGTAGAAGCGGTAGCAAAGTAACAACGTAGGTTCTCTATCACTGCAGTAATTCTTATACATTCTTTCATTTTCTTGTTCAAAAGTTTGACTGGTTGGTATGTTTCATGTGAAACTTGATTGATGTAAAAAAAGAAATATTATGCTTGTACTTAGTGAACACTGAATAACGTGTGAGTGTGTGCAGATCTATTTGGATTACACGCAGTTCGTTGAATTTGTTCTCCAGTAGAAGCAACGCTTTAAATTTTAAAAAATGAATTTACACTTGCTGCATTTCATAGTTCACTATTTAAAATATTGCTATTTCTGATATCTTTTTTCTACATCCTGATCGCTATGTTTGTGTGTGTGTGTGTGTGTGTGTGTGTGTGTGTGTGTGTGTGTGTGTGTGTATTACAACACTGTACTGTTTTGAATTATATTTATCTGTCTCTACTGGTTATGTGAAAGTTTAATCATTCGAATTCAATTGATTGACATCTTGGAGCCATTCAGAATGTTGTTTCACTTCTCATCTTTGTCGTTTTGTTAAACATTTTATAAACGTGCAAAATAAGAACATACGGACAAACATGCAAACATCAAACAAACCATTTTAGAAGATAGGTATTTAAAAAATTTAAAAAGTTTCTAAATAATTTTTTAACCAGATTAAATCAGTTGGTGTTTTAAGTAATAACATAATAATTCTATTAGTGTTGTATGGAGCATTTATATTGTAATTAATATATTATATTTTAATGGTGATTGCTGAATTGTTATATTAAATTATGGTGAATTTTTTAACCTTTTCCCATACAGATTCTTTCTGCTACTGATATTGTGTTCTCTAGGACAGACAACAATGAATTGTTAGTATTTCTAAATGTTTTTCTTCTTAATTACACATTAATATTTTTAATTTAATTTTTTTATATTTATTTTATTAAAGATTTTTTTTTATGATCATGGTAGACAATTTTTTTAAATAATTTTTAAAAAATTTGAATAGTTTTTTTCTAGTTAATTATTTACATTTATAATCTCTGCTGAACCTTGCATTCTAACATCGTGTCTGCAAATGTTTCTTCATTTACTTTCAGTCTATGTTAGGTTTTTTTCTCACTCACTTCTTGTTTACTTTAAATTTTTTTAAACTATTCAATTAAGATTTTTAATAATGGCCTGAGATTTTTTTTTTCATTTTTTCTGTGGCTGCAGTGATTTAATTCTGATAGGTACATTATTAACAGCAACAACAACAACCTGATTAGTAAATTTCCATCATTTTAGTGTTCACATCATTTTAGTTATCCCATTCCATGTCACACAAGTTATGAGTATTTATATATCATTTCTTTTTCTTATCTTCTCTTTCAGCTTAATTTTCTTTACATAAGTGGCAGGTTTTTTACTCATAATTTGATTCACACATTGAATTTCTTTCAAATATATAATTATTTAATTTATTTATGCGTGTATGTAACTAATTAACATAGCACAACTACAATGTAAAACTTAAACGTTTCCATTTTACATCGTATTCATTGACCTATTTGAGGTGTTCCATTATATAATTGTGATTCCAAATATACAGTGAGATTGGAATATAAAATTAACTACATGTAAATGAACACATTAATAAATTTTTAAGATTTTTGTTAAAACGTTTTTCTAAAATTAACTAACTACCTCTGTAGATTGCTTAAGATGTTGTATTGAATGGGAAGTGGAATATTTTAGGAAGTAATCAGCAAATTGCGCCATTAAATGAATTTGTACAAGCTGACAAACATTTTTGTGCAATCAAATTTCTGCAACATTTGTAAAAAATAATAACGAAAGTTTGCAATCAACACAACTGGCAAGTAACTATCTTGTTTGAGAAGGCATTAATTTCACTTTCTTTCAATCCTCTTTTCATCTCTCCCATCTACCATAATTATAATATCTAGGACTTGTCTTTATGTGTCTTGTACAAATGCATTCAAACATCTACTTAGTGCTTGCTCAATGTTCATTCTGATTCTACCTAATCGCACAGTTCAATTCAATTATTTCTCTTTTTTTCACTTATTCTTTTTTACACTCTTTTCATTATTAATTAATTCTATTATCTGTTCATCCATTTTTTGGGCTTACATTTCCTCAAACATTCACTTACTAAAAACGCGCACACACAAGCGCGAATACACGCACACACAGACAAATATCACTTTTTGATTTCGAATAATCACAGTCTCTTTGTTTGCAAAACAAGGACATACATGTGCAGATTTACATAGGCACACAGTGTTCTGTTCTGTACCTTACTGCACTGCACACAGAAGCACGCATGTATGTTGTATATATATATATATATATATATATATATATATATATATATATATATATTCAAGCAATCGGACATATTCATGCACCTTAAATATGTGCTTGAGTTAATAAATGTAGAAGTTTAGCTTATAATTGAATTGGCGCTGCCTGATCTTGTTGTATATAATTCTTTCCCCCCATTATCATCCTCAGTGTATGTACTACAAGGCATAGGTGTAACTAGAAGATGGTGGTGGTGTGCTTGCGAGTGTTTTATGTTATTAAAATAGTGCTGATATCTCGTGTTACTTGAGGAGAGCATCATCGCTATTAGGCTAGGCTTCGACTATGTGATGTGGCTCCCGTCATCACGTTGCTGTATGTTCTTGCGCGTTGTAAGTTGTATCCACCGGTAATTGGCATGCACTGACTGCTAGCCATTCATAATTTCATGCTACATTTTATAGGCTTTCAGACATCGATATGCTGGGAAGGGATTTAATAGTCTATTGTAAGAGCCTATTATACAACATTATACAAAATGAAAACTTGTATTATAAAAGGATAATATAATATGTATGTCAATAGACGAAATGAATAGTAAATAATAATGTAACAAAGTATAACAATATAATAACAATATAACATTCAACAGCGCTTTTAGCGTGTAGTGTAACGAAAATATTTAAACAGAGAGCAAGCAAATTAAGAACACGCCCTTGTAAAATTATACACACGTTACAACTACACAACAAATTCCATCTTAGAAAGTGTGCATCTGCATGCGTGGAGAGCTCAAACAACTGTAGCAATTGATTGGTGGTTGGCTATCTATTTGTTTCCCTGGCTGGCTGGCAGGCTGGCTGTATTTTTCTGAATACATTTTTATGTCTTTACGTGGAACCTGTTCGATTTTAATGGTAATATAGTTTATTATGAGTTTTTCTGCAATTTATGTTGTATATGTTTGTGTTTGTATGTTTGCTAGTGTTTTTGTAAAGAATTTAATTTTGTATGCACGCTTGTGTGGGGGGCCTGTATAGAGAGGACGAGAGAGATAGAGAGAGAGAGAGAGAGAGAGAGAGAGAGAGAGAGAGAGAGAGAGAGATAGAGAGAGAGAGATAGAGAGAGAGAGAGAGAGAGAGAGAGAGAGAGAGAGAGAGAGAGAGAGAGAGAGAGAGGTTTATGATTGTCAACCTGTACCATGGCAAATGTTATTTTAATGATGTCGGTTCATTTTTTATTGCACGCGTACTCATCTATCTGAGCATGCTGGCTTGTAGTTTTTTTCTCTTGAAATTTCATTCAGTGCATTGTTCTTTTATTACTCCTTATATGATCTTGGTTTACTTGGTTATTCCTGGCACTTAATTAATTCGTTCATTATTTTAAAGTAATATTTTATATTAACATTTAAAATGATTTCAGTAATGCTTTCTTACTCTGTTTGGAATAAATTGACTCTATAATGACGTTGTAGCACTTGTATTATAGTGTATTTGTTTCTGGTAGAATTTCTCAGCGTGACGGTATGGTACCATCTAGTTTATCATTTAATTATGTTACTTTCAACTTTTATTACTACAGTTGCATAATAACTATTTCGCATCTATTCTCTCTCCCTCCCTCTCTCTCTATCTCTCTCCATTCTCCAACTTAACCTACTATAGCTCATTCATTCCCAGGCTTTTTCTGACCTAATTATACACACTTATACTTCCATACACATATGTGTTCTTATAAATATATTAATATACCTTTGTGTACATATGTAGGCTGCATATTTATATGTGGATGCATATAAATCTATTTATACTTATGAATGCTCGCACAGGCACTGTCTAGGTTTATGTATGCGTAGTGTGTGCGCGTGCGTGCACATAATGTGTGAGTGTGTGTGGAATATCTTTCTGGAAAATCTTTCTAATGAAGAAAAGAATAAGAAAACGGCAATAACAAAATAAAACATTAAAACAATCAGCATTAAAATAACGATGGGTGTTAATTAAAAAGAGTTGAAATGTTTACTGTTATGCGTTATATTGACTAAATATATCTACTACAATGTTTGTTTGTTGAAAAATAAGATGGAAGAAGCACCTGCATATCAGGCAGACTTGATCTTTTCATATTTAACGGATTATTATATCAGCGTTATACACGCCTCTTAAGCGAGTCATGATATATCTGCATATGATATATATGTATGTATGTATTATGTGTAATTTAAAATATGTTGTTTGGCGAGTGTATGATTGTCAAATGTTGCCTTTTCATTATAATGATATTTCTCCGCCCTTTCATTGTTCTCTTCTGTTTGCCATCAGGTAGAAAGGTGGCTGGATGTATCATGAGATATCATGTTCTTATCAATGCCACTCAATAACTTTTTCTTTCTTCTCTAAATCTGCTCTATTTCTCTTTACAGTTTGTTTTTGTCAGATTTCTTTTATTACTTTTATTATTTTCGCTATTTCAAATGTCTGTCCACCTAAGTTTTGTTATTTTGTTTGTTTCTATTAATAATTTTTAATGTCGGCCATACCTTATCGTTCGATCACTTAGCTATTTGGTTTTGTAGTATTTTACTTGTGAGTAATTAATTTATCCATCTATTTTGTTGAAGAAGAATAATGTTTTTGTTCGTGTGTTGTGTGCGCGTGTGTGTTTGTAGATGTGTGTGCAGTACAGTGTAGCAGACATGTTCTTATCATCAACACTGAGGTCTTCCTATTTCAATTTATTATTTGTTTGTAGGTCAGATTAAGTTTATTTTATGTTGCATTAATTACTCGATAAATTTCATTACAATGCAATATGTTGGCTTGCATTAATAATTGTGGTGAAGAATTTTTTCATCCATTGTCGATGGTGTAAATATAATTATAATTAATATTTTAATTATAATTATTATTAAGTTATAATTAAATTTTTCTCCAAACCCCATAAACAGATATGTCCTGACGGAGCTGATGCAGAGTGACTTGCACAAGATCATATCATCCAATCAAACCCTCACCGTTGAACACGTTAAGATATTTGTCTATCAAATTTTAAGAGGTTCGTAGTAGTCACGTTAGTTTAGCTAGTTAGGTAGTCGGGCGGGAGTTCTGGAAATTTCTAGAATATTTTATTTTCATCTGTTCATTGTTCATTTTTTATTAGCTATTATTTCTTCTTTGCTTTTGCTATTCTATTATTGCCTTTTTGTCTGGAACTGTTGATGATATAATCTTTGAATGTAGGTTATTAAGAATTCATTACATGTGCATTGTGCATTTATATGTGTTTGTATATACACAGGCATATCATACCCTTGTATGTTTTTATGTGATTAATGCCAACAATTTGGTAGAATTCATACAATACTGTATAAAATATGGTCTCCTTCCAACATTTATGTGTAAGTGTATGTATGTGTTTGTGTGCGTGTGTGTATCTGTGTATGTGCGTGTGTGTATGTGCGGTGTGTATGTGCGTATGTGTATGTATCAGTGACCTCAGTATTATTGAGATGATCATTGCTGTGCAATTTATCATTTTCAATGGCCTTTTTTAGTGGCTGAATAAATCTGTTTAATGTCTTGATGGTTTGGATCCATTTTTCAAAAATTCTACTATCATGGATGAAGAAAATGTGAATTATACCAGCACTATTTATAAATGCAATTTCACTTAGATACCATAGTTAATTAATTAATTACTTAATTAGATGGTGAGCTGAACTAATTGACGTTTATTACTAATTAGTGCTGCTATTAATAAGAAGGTTTGTTCCACATTGTATATGGTTATTTTAAGTTGAAAGGGATTTCATTTTTATGACTTAAGTTAATAAAGTATGTGGATAAAAAAGCTTAGGAATGTCAGTCAGTCAGCTGCTATTTAACGTTGATCCTCAGCTTCCGTTATTACCAGAGTCTTGTTTTTAAAGAATACAAAAAATTGTGAGGCTAAGTTTTTAAATATGGAGCAAGCTATTTTTTAAAGAAAGTGATGAAGTATATTTTCTGCTCTCGGTTATCTCGTAATATCACGTAAATAATAACTTTTGTAATGAGTTTTTTCATTTCTTCTGTGTTCGATTGAATGTGTTCTTACCAGAAATATTATCACGAAAATCTTTTTATTGCTTTTAAGTTGTATGCGTTATATATTTATTGGAGGTCACCGTCCGTTCAACGTGTTACGAATGAGCACGCTGTTACATAACGTCTGGCTGGCTAGTCTAACAACGTATTACATAATGTATGGAATGAAGATGCAACAATTACGTTGTATGATAATATGATATGTCATACTTACGTGTTAAGAAACACCATACAAACACTACACACGCATACACCTACACGCATACACATACACACACAGGTTTGAAGTTCCTACATTCGGCCAACATAATCCATAGAGACATCAAGCCTGGTAACCTTTTAGTCAATGGTGATTGCAAACTCAAGGTTTGTTTTTGCACATTTATACGCTCTCAAACTCACTCACACACACACACACACACACACACACACACACACACACACACACACACATGTAGACACATTTACGCACGCACACATTCAAACTACTAAACGTAGTTATAATGTCTTTTCATTTTAAAATCTATCTAGTTATATAAGATATGTGTAGAGCTGTAAGAATGGTGGCAGGCATTTCTTATTAAATAATTCAGTATATTCAATAATTCAAAATATGTTCATTATTATCACTTGAATGATTGCGATGTGATGATGATGATGATGATGACGACAACGACGTCACTAGGTGTTGTGTGCTAGGTATATATTTTCTTTGTTTACTCAGCACTTGTTCATATTAATTCTTGAATTTGACTGCATCATCATCATCAACATCACCTTCAGAAACAACATCAACACTCTTATTGTTGCCTGTGTAATCAGTTTTTCAAAGCATTTGATAATCATGTATTGTTAATGATGTTATGTTGTGTTAGGCTGTGCAGTTGATATACACATGTGTTTGTGCATTTGTTTGCTAATAATGTTTTATTTGTTTATTTGTTAGTTAGTTAGTTAGTTTGTCTGTCTGTTTGTTTATTTATTTGTTCATTGGTTTGTTGGTAATTGTTTAAGAGTGCTACTTTATATTATTTCAAATGATATTGTGTTCATTCACTCATCATATCTTCATATACGTGTATTCATGTTGTTTTTGTGGTATGCTTTATTAAATCGATTATTTATTTATTGTTCCTGCTGAGTTCAGTTGAATTTTTCAAAAGTTTTTTCCATGAAGAGATGATGTCATCTTTTTTTCTATATTTCCTGCTAATGATTATCATGCTCCATTCAATATTTTTATAGCCTTTAAAACCTTTATAATGTATTTTTTTTACTTGCCTGTTCACCGGTTCATTTTGTTTATTTTCATTTCGCGGTTTAACCTGCACTTATTATTTTACATTCTTATCCTTTCATGATTGTAAATGTGTTGAGCACATATTTTTATTATTCTCTATCTGTTTGTCTGTCTCTCTGTCTGTTTATCCATCCATCCATCCATCCATCCATCCATCCATCCATCCATCCATCCATCCATCCATCCATCCATCCATCCAACTGTGGATTTGTGTGTCTATCCAGGCTTGGTGTATAAATAATATATTATTGTTATTTATCTTAAGTAGTTGTAGTATGAGAACAAAAGAACACGATGAAAAAATTATTAACATGCAAATTCAATAGATAAGTGGTCTTTTAATGGCATGCAATTAAGAAAATTAATTCATCCATTATACATGAGAAAAGTGGTAGATAGATATATTAAAAATTGAATACTGTTTGACGTTTAATTATTTCCAAATGTGAGGTTATAATAGGCCGTAATGTATTTATTAATCAGCATAAATAACTATCATTCAAGTAGGCCTACTGCTTGTTTCTTCTTGCATGTGCGTTTCGTTCATTTACAACTAAAGTATTGTCATTATCCTGTTAAAGTTTTGACCTTTCTATTAAAAACACACGACATTTCTAAGATTAAAGCTGGTGAAAAATTTAGTAAATGAAATGTGAAATGAATGTTCTATTAATAAATTACACCATGTTAGGACATTATTGATAAGTTTGAAAGAGTATTAACGACATAATGTTTTTTATTTACATTTGTAGGTATCTTAACCAGTTTATTACTATTTTTTGGGTAGTTGTTATCTTATTTCTCATTACCATTGTCATCTTTCTTGATCATTCATTATCACAAATCACCCATCACCAACGTCATCATTAATATCTTCACTTCACCATCGTTGCCACCATCGTCAGCCACCATCATCAACATCTCTTCAGTAGACGATTGTGCTTCTTTTCATTCTCCCACGACGGAATTTAATGTGATTATTTTTGGTTGCTCTACTCAAGTTAGACTTTTATTGAGCGCTGATCTATATAATTGTTTTTTTTATCAATGTTATTGTATTTTATCATTTGCTGGTTGACAAGTTCAAATTTTTTTGGGTAAGTTTATTATTATGATTATTATTATTATGACTATTTTGATTATCATTATTATTATACTTTATCATTATACCTGCAACAATAACATTTCAAGAACAAAAACCGATTCAAAAAAATGTCGGGATTTTGTTTGCCTGGCGTCTACAAAGATAAAAAAAAGACTGAATATAGTAAGCAGACAAACTTACAAATCCGCCAATTCAAGACCTTACAAATCAACCAATTTATCTTTTGCAAATTGTTGCCAATGGCTGTAAAATTAAGTCATGTCATCAGATGGAACATATGGAATGTGTCACAGAAGAAATTTGTTATTTTCAGGATATGATGTATGTACATCTTTGTTTGTTTGTTTGTGTGGGTGGGTGTGTGTGTGTTTATAGTAAAGTTGTTTTGTATTCTGATGCATGTTCATGGAAATATTAAAGACAATGTGGATCGGTTGATTTAATTGCAAATATGTTGTTATCTTTTATTTTTATACTATTAGTTATATTACTATTTTTATTATTATTAACATTTTTATCATGATTATTTACTGTCTGCACATTTTAGCTGTCCTGTTAATCAGGTGGAAGCTATAAATAAGCTCACATGTACTTGCTAATATGTATGAAATCATATTTTATATGTGCATCTATGATCTATATATATATATATATATATATATATACATATATACACGCGCGAAGCCAACGTGTGTCTACATGTAAAAAGAATGTCTTTGTGCTCTTATTTATTTACACGCACATCTGAAAATATTTCAAGGAAATGCTTTGCAATCGCAACTTTAGTATTCTTAGTAGGGATTCATGCAGAGGTGTTTGTTTTTAGGATGGGTGGAGAGAAAGAAAGAGAGAGTAAGATATATATATATATATATATATATATACATATATATATATATAGAGAGAGAGAGAGAGAGAGAGAGAGAGAGAAGTTGGGAAAGGAAAGAAGGAATGATTGCTAATGGCCTGAGTGACTGAATTAGTAGCATTTATTTTCTTTTAATTAAAATAAGTAGTTTTAGTGTTCCACTAATCAGATTGATTCAATCTATATATATATATATATATATATATATATATATATATATATATATATATCACAAGGTTCTATCTTACACTGCATCTTATAATATTCTAATTATGGACACACTCCTGATGAAGATGATGACGACGATTGTGTTGTAGATGATGTGATGATGTTATTGATCATGAGATACTCAGTGCTTGTTTTATGATGAAATGGTTTTATTTTTAAATAAATAATTAGAAGGTCTTATGTGAAGTGCTAATTCACGCAAAAACACACTAATATTCAGTCATATGTTTGTATAGATGTATAAGTATATATGTGTGTATATATTTATTAGTGTAGCAGTAAACAAATGTTTTTGTATTTTGGCATTTAATAGTATTTTATTCTTTATATTTGGTTGTCTTCAATATTTTCTTTTTAATATAACCTTCATGTGTACAGCAATACTTGTTTTTTCATCACCCACCAATGATATGTGTGTATTTATATGTTTAGGTTGGCACTGGTTTGTGCTAATTCATGCATGTATATTTGTGTGCATGTATGTTTGTGTGCGTGTGTCTGTGCATGCATTTATAGATGGGTTTGTATAGTTGTGTGTATGCTTCATTGTGTGTGTTTAATCATGTTTATATGTACACCAATGCATTGATACAATCTGCTGTTCTGTTAATGGTAAAGACATGATTGAATTTTTTTTCCTAGAGCTTCATAGTTTTTAAAGCATTTTTACAAAAAATAAAGATCATTAAAGTTGATCTATATAAAACGTACCCACCATCAGATATGTGATTTTGGGTTGGCCAGAGTTTATGAGCCAAGCGACATGCAGAGAATGACGCAGGAGGTGGTGACACAATATTACAGGGCTCCTGAGATTCTGATGGGAGCCAAGCACTACACGTATGCTGTGGATATGTGGTCAGTCGGTTGCATCATGGCTGAGCTGCTAAGCAGGAGGGTTCTTTTTCAAGCTAATAATCCTATTCAACAGGTTGGTTATTTTTCTCTTTTGTTCTTTTTATTTCATAATGATATTTTCTATATCGGCGAGTTAGCTCAATCAGGGGCTTGGTTAGAATACTGCTTGTCAGAAACTTGATGATGAGTTGATTTGTACCGAATCAAAAAATGTTTGATTTGGTCCATAATGAGTATAGATGTAGGTGGTGCGGATAGTACAACAGCCTTTCTTGCCGGAAAGTTTAGAATGAAGAATGACGTGTGAGCATTTCTACTGCATTATAAGGACCATAAAATGTTTGATTTGTGTAATACATGCTTATCACATTTTTTTAAATTTCAAAATTTTTTTCATATTGTTGATTACATTTTTAAACAAACGAAACTGTATGGCACATAGATGACACTTGTTATATTTGTCGCTATTTAATTTTCATTGTGATTGGATTGCACGCTATCCATCACCATATTACATATACGATGACCAACCACAACAACGCTCACTGCACCTATCAACCAACCAACCAACCAACCAGTTGGACCTGATAGTCAGCATCCTGGGTACTCCCTCCATGGACGACATGCACGGTACTTGTGACCCGGCCAAGGCACACGTCCTACAGTTGCCTTTTCAAAATACAAATCTGGCCCTCTTGAGAAATCTTTCAAATGACGTCACAAACGAAACATTGCACTTTTTATTGAATCTGCTATCGTTCAATCCAGTTAGTCATTTTTCCGGTCTAACTTATTCTTCAATTTCACGTCTGATACATACATTTCATTGCTTATTCCGCTGCTTGATTTTTTGGTTAAATGATTAATTTCACTGGTTTTTATTAAATTTTTAACATTTTATAATGGATTATTAAACATGCTTGAAACATATTTATTGTTGAATCTAAGAATTACTAGTCTTATTTCAACATCATTTTTACATTATAAAAAAATACAGATGGAAAATTAAGTTTTTCAGCAAATGGATGTTTAGAATCATTTTCAATTTACAACTCTTATTCACTTAACAACCCCATCACCACCACTTAACAGCGCCACAGGATAACAGCAAGTAACGCCTTGACGCACATGTACATAGACGACGGTCGGACAAGGTACCACACATCCATCTGTTCATGTTGCCAGTGCTACAATCCATTTGCTACTCAGCTATATAGGGACTACGAACCGTCATGTCAGAAACCATTCTCCGTTCAGTTTGAAGACGAGCTATCCACTGTCACTGCTGTCAAACGTAAATTTAGTTTCTGATCATCTTTTTTAATTTATCTGCTTTTATTTATTTTTTGCCATATCCTGTATTAATTCATTTCGCCATATTATACGTTGACTACTTTCTGATTCACTTTTTGTTCTCCATGTTTTTGTTGGTTTTGTTTTCTCAGGCTCTATCTTTATGATGCCACTTAGTTCTTACAATCGAATTCACTTGCGTATGATGTACAAAGACATTGTCTCATTTTCATTCTTACCAGTATGATAAACCATCCCCTATTAAAACTATAAAACGTTATCTATTGAAAAAATAAGATCTAAAAAATGGGTGATAGTGTGCGGATGAAAGAATGAATGGATGATTGAGTGAGTGTATCCACGAAATGACAAATAAATGAGAAAATGAACAACAAACACACAGTCAAACTTACTAAACTCTGCAAATCAATTCAATCGAGGAACGAATCCCTGGGTATCTCACAGCTCCATCTTAATCTTCAGTCACCTGTCTACAAAGCTTTTGCTAAGTAGGTGTTAATGTTATTTGTTGGTATTTATTAGTACCTGTGTATTATTTTTCTTTTAATTTTGTATTTAGTTTTATATTTTGCTTCATTTATTTATTCATAGACTTGCCCTTTTTCTCTCCATCCACTACAGATCTCACTGTGCTCAAGTCTCGGAACTACCACCATCTCCACACTTATGGGAATGAGGAAGATAAGGATGATGAGAAGATGACGTCATCCTCATCATCTTCATCGTGTTGACGTTCTCCGAGTCTCAACTCACTGTTAAAAATCATCAAATATTAATGTAACCGTGAACTCCTTATCAAAAGTCAATCAATAGTTTATGATGCTTTTACTCATCCAGCCGTATTTTTTCTTTCTTTCTTTCTTTCTTTCATTCATTCATTTAGTATTTGTTCAGATTAATATTTTTTAATGTGTAACACCGACCTAACATTACACACGCACACACACTTCATATATTAATATGAGGCTGTGTATGTATATACATACATGTGTGTACATATGTATTTATATATGTGTTGTGTACGTGTTTGTTTGTATGTATGTATGTATGTATGTATGTATGTATGTATGTATGTATGTATGTATGTATGTATGTATGTATGTATGTATGTATGTATGTATGTATGTATGTATGTATGTATGTATGTATGTATGTATGTATGTATGTATGTATGTATGTATGTATGTATGTATGTATGTATGTATGTATGTATGTATGTATGTATGTATGTATGTATGTATGTATGTATGTATGTATGTATGTATGTATGTATGTATGTATGTATGTATGTATGTATGTATGTATGTATG